TATACTTCCAAAAATTGTAAAACGTTGGACTCTAAAATATTTTTGTAGTTCTTCATCAATTTTATGATTAATCCATCAAATTGTAAGAGTTATATTATGGAACGCATTAATCCTTCAACGAAATAAACCAAAATAATGTTATAATTAATATTGAATATACATACTTTTGTATTTATTGAAATTAACAGTTATACTTTAGGAAGCAATAAAAATAGGATTCTCTCATGTCCAATACATTTACCACCAAAGTTTAAACGGTCAGATCCATTTTTTACATTTTCTGCAAATAATCGACATTTTTAGTAGAACCACGTGATGAAATAAGACATTTATAACTTACCAGATCCCTTTTTTATATTTTAATTCAGTTAGAAGTATTTTAATATTAGCTACTGCTTTCTAAAAAATAAAATAATTAAAAATTAATTAATTTATTTATTTATTGTTTTGAATCAATAAAAACATTACCTTTCATGAACATTTTTTCAATAACTTGGAATTAAACCGTCTATAAAGATCTGAAATTACTAAGTCATGGATTATTTTTTAAATTATTTACAGTCACTAACGATAGAAACACCTTAACGACCCTAAACGGGATATTGCTTTTGACATTTTTTGTTTGCTCTCTTCTAATACTTAGGTTCAATATCTATATGGAAATTAATAAAATTGTATTTATTTAAAAAAGGTGGGTTTAAAACTATCTGATTTCAATATTAAATATCTTATATGGGCAATTTCGTGTCGAGTGACCCAAGTCAAAAAATAATTTATGTATAAAACAGTAGTATTAATTTCAATATAGTGATTCCAGACTTAAACGCGCAAATAGTTTTAAAAATATTGAAAGTTAAGATTTAACTCAAATAAATCTAAATATGTTAAAAATGCAATGTTCATCAAATGAAAGCCGATGTTCATCCTAAACGAATTAAGAGAGAGTCGAAATTTAATATAAAAACATTTTTAATGAAACATATTAGACTTTTTTAAAAATAATGGAAATGGAAGCCGTTTAGAGTTGTTAACATATTCCTAAAATAGTATTTTAATATGACAACTTACTTTTTAATTTTATTTATATAATCCTTCCTTATACTTTTTGGTATATATTTAATAAACTTCGTCAATTAAGAAAACCTTCTTAAATGTTTATTAACAGTTGATTTTTAACACAACATTGTCATATTGTTTTTTATTACTTAAGATTCACAATATTTTAATTACACTATTTTTCTATGAACATTAAATTCAAGAACTCATTTAAGTTTTACGATGAATAATTAAAACTGAACATGACTGAACAAAACACAAAACATCACTGAACTTAACAAAATTTCTGCATTATTTATTTTTATTTTTTCACGCTAAAAAATGGAGTATTTATATTTTTTGTTTTTGTACTCTTCTTACTATCATCCGGAAGTAACCTAAAAGTATACTTCCAGACGGCGAAAACTAGAAATCAATGTATTTTGTTTTTGTAAAATGTGTGCTCTCGTCTGACAATTGTACAGAAGTGACTACAATCCACACTTCCAGATGAATAAAATACAACATTAATGTGAACACTCTTCAAACTGTCTTCCAGAAGTGACATAAACATACAAATCAAGAAGATACAAATTAGGAAACAATGTATTTTGTTATTGTAAAATGTGTGTTCTCACCCAACTCTCATACAGAAGTCACTAAAACGTATACTTCCAGATGAAAAAAATTCAACAGGCATGGTTTTTTGTTTAAGCAAAATGGATGCACTCTTCTAACTATCATCCGGAAGTAACTTAAAAGTATATTTCTAGAAGACGAAAATTCGAAATCAATGTATTTTGTTTTTGTAAAATGTGCGTTCTCGTCTGACAATCGTCCAGAAGTGTTTCTGACGTGGCGTCTGGGGTGATGCGCAATAGTTTTCTCTTTTAAATGTTTGAAGGGTGTGCTCGCACTTTGAAGCAGAGATACAAGCCGAGACGGCTTAAACGTAGTTGCCACTATTTAAATTCTTATGGCAAATTGAAAAGAGTTGCCACACAATATTGTGCTAATTTAAAATAGTGAAAACTACTATAAATGTCATTTTCTGCAGAAAAAAACTTATATAGAGACAGGTTTCTATGTAACAGACTATTATACAAAGATTTTTCAATATAATAAACCTTATAAGGTCAATTTCTAAAGACAAAGTTAAATTGAGACGACAATTTAGCCGCCGCACTTATTTTCTGTAATAAGCCGCCGCTGCCGACCCAAAATGGTTGCGCCGCCGCCACCGATCATTTCGCATCGGCTTGTATCTCTGCTTTGAAGTGTAGGCATACTGTCAAACTCCATATATAAAAAATAAAATGAATTCGCACCGTATTTCACCCGCGTGAAGAAAACATACCGGTAACAAACCTACTGTCAAAAAACTACATACACAGTTGCTCAAGAAAGTAATACCAAAAATAGTATTAAAAAATACGCATTTTTGCAACTATATAAAATAACTTTTGCCAGTTCCCTTAACATACTTTTGGTGTTAGTTTATAATATGTAAATGTAAATACATTGATTTTTACTAAAAAATCATTCAAATTCGATAGAGATTTGTTTAAGGAACCGATTTATAGTGTTTTCACGGTCTAAAAATTAGCCAATTATATGGTATTCACTATTAAAGTGTTATTTTTCAATATTAAGAAGTATATATTATGTTGATTAAAAAATCGGTCAGATATTGTGGTACCAAAAAAGTTCCAAAAATTTCGAGAGATAATTGTACTAGGAACCGATTTATGGGGTTGTCACTTTCGAAAAATTAGCCAATTATATGGTATATACTACTTAAGTGAAATACCATATAAGTGAATATCATATAATGGGCTAATACCATATAATTGGCTAATTTTTCCTGGTTCCTGGGACAATTATCTCTCGAAATTTGTGGAACTTTTTTGGTACCACAATATCTGACCGATTTTTTAATCAACATACTATATACTTCTTAAAATGGAAAAATAACACTTTAATAGTGAATACCATATAATTGGCTAATTTTTCGAAAGTGACAACCCCATAAATCTTTTTCTAGGACAATAATCTTTCGAAATTTGTATATCTTTTTTTGGCACCACAATATCTGACCGATGTTTTAATCAACATACTATATACTTGTTAATATTGAAAAATAACATTTTAATAGTGAATACCATATAATTGACTAATTTCTCGAAAGTGACAACCCCATAAATCGGTTCCTAGGACAATTATCTCTCGAAATTTTTATATCTATTTTTGGCACCACAATATCTGACCGATTTTGTAATCAACATATTACATACTTGTTAAGATTGAAAAATAACACTTTATTCACTATACCATATAATTGGCTAATTTCTCGAAAGTGACAACCCCATAAATCTGTTTCTAGGACAATTATCTCTCGAAATTTGTGGAACTTTTTTTGGCACAACAATATCTGACCGATTTGATGACCAACAAACTATATATTTGTTAATATTGAAAAATAACACTTTAATAGTGAATACCATATAATTGACTAATTTTTCGAAAGTGACAACACCATAAATCGGTTCCTAGGACAATTATCTCTCGAAATTTGAGTAAGTTTTTTTGACACAATAATATCTGACCGATTTTATAATCAACAAACTATATACTTGTTAATATTGAAAAATAACACTTAAGTAGTTTGTGTATAATTGGCTAATTTTTTGAAAGTGACAACCTCATAAATCGGTTTCTAGGACAATTATCTTTAGAAAATATTATAACTTTTTTTGGCACAATAATATCTGACCGATTTTGTTAATAGCAAAATATAGAAAGAAAATGTATCTAAAATTATTCACATTTATTTATAAAATAATTTTACAAAAATTTCCTATAAGTGAGTTTTTTAAATTTCCTATAAGAGAATATTTTAAATTTTCTATAAGAGAAGTTATTAAATTTTCTAAAAGACCATTTTTTAAATTTTCTATAAGAGAATTTTTAAAATTTTCTATAAGTGCATCAATTTTCTGTAAGAGAAGGTTTTAAATTTTCTATAAGATAATTTTTTAAATTTTCTATATTTTTTTTTAATTTTCTATAAATGAATTTTTTAAAATATTCTATAAGAGAATTTTTAAAATTTTCTATAAGAGAGTTTTTTAAATTTTCTATTAGAGAATTTTTCGAATTTCCTGAAGGAGAATATTTTAAATTTTCTATAAGAGAAGTTTTTAAATTTTCTATAAGAGAATTTTTCGAATATTCTAAAATAGATTTTTTTTTATTTTTCTGTAAGAGAATTTTTTAATTTTCTATAAGAGAATTTTTGAAATTTTCTATAAGAGAATTTTTAAAATTTTCTATAAGAGATTTTTTTTTAAATTTTCTATAAGAGAATTTTTTTAATTTTCTATAAGAGAGTTTTTTAATTTTTTTATAAGAGAATTTTTCGAATTTCCTATAAGAGAATTTTTTAATTTTCTATAAGAGAGGTTTTTAAATTTCCTATAATAGAATTTTTCGAATATTCTAAAATAGATTTTTTTTTAATTTTCTGTAAGAGAAGTTTTTAAAATTTTCTTTAAGAGAATTTTTTAAAATATTTTATAAGAGAATGTTTTAAATTTTCTATAAGAGAGTTTTTTAAATTTTCAATAAGAGAATTTTTGAATTTCCTGTAGGAGAATTTTTTAAATTTTCTATAAGAGAATTTTTCGAATATTCTATAATAGAATTTTTTAAATTTTCTGTAAGAGCATTCTTTAAAAATTTGTGTAAGAGAATTTTTTAAATTTTCTATTTCTGGTATAATTCTCTATCGAAAATCGTTTACATTTATTAATATTAAAATTTAACACTTTAATATGGTGTACCTTGTACCTATACTGCATTTTTATTAAAAAAGTACTATATAAATAAAATCAAAGGTTTGTACGTTTTTACACAACTCTGGGAAGAAGTATGTTAAAAAAGTTGTCTTGTTCACATCGATCCGTATTTCTGAATTCGACGACGACACTATCCTATAATTAATATATCTTGTACATTAGATTCATGGCGAAACTAATAAGGTGATGTAATTTCAGCTGATTGTTTTTTTGTCCATGGAAATTCAGCTCGAAGTTGTCAAACTCCAAATAATAAAATTTTCCCTCAAACCTGACGCTTTCAAACTACATAAAAAAAATTTCATGAATTCGCCGCAAAATGAATTGACTTCACCTTATAGTCTATTCGCCTTGATTATATTATTAATTTAGTTTGTTTTATTCACACGTCAAAACAATCGCGGTACCTTCCGAATAAACCAGATTATTTTTAACTACGTAATTTGTGTTTTTAAACAAATAAAATAGTGAAGAATTATAAAAAATTCAAAACAGATCTGATAGAATAACAGAAAATGCTAATTTTAAATAGTGATATCTGAGAGTGTAATAAAATATGTATCTACATTTATTTTACATGTGTGTTTTGATTTTTTATATGTTTATTAAAGTGAACATGAACGAATAAATTAAATACATATGTATGTACTATATTAATTTATAAATATACCAGTGTAAAAACAGTAAAAAAATATGGATATATCATAAGATATATGAACAAAGTGTGTCAATAATAAAGCAGTATAAATAGCAAACCTAAAAAGTCGCCTTACACATAGGTATGTACATACTTACATTAATTTTCCTTTTTCCCTTCGTCGAATTAATTCTGTGGTAAAAAGGCAAAAGCACATAAGTTGTTTTTATGTACTTTTCAGGATAACGTTTTAAAGTTTTAAATTACAATACAAAACTATAGTAAAACAAATTTTGAAAATTCGATATTTTCAAAAGTTCTGATCCGATCTTTATGAAAAATTGACAGAGAATTGAATATAGAGTGAGTACGGAGATCTCAAAAATGCGATTTTGCATAACTTGAGATATGTACTTTATTATGTTTGCCACATAATTACATATTCTAAATGTAAATACTGAAGTTTTTTGTGATAATAACTAATAAACAAAAATATTTATTTATTGGACAATTATTAATTCTATAAGAAATTAGACATCTGTTACATATTAGACTAAAAATGTTTAAGACCATAGGTAGCTCCATCTCTTAATTATAAGCGTTAACCTTCAAATTATGAAAATTTTATTTTGTTAAATATTGGTGCTTTAAATTACCCCACTATTCATCCAGATATTGATGTTAACTGCATTAATGAACACTTTATTTCTAATCAATTAAATGTGAATGATGGTTCATCATTGTGTATTTTCACAGTTTTCTAATAATATAAATGTAAATAAAGTCTACCTCAGTGGGACAGATGGTAACATTTTTAAATAACATTTTTAAAAATTACTTTCCTTATATAAGCAAGTAGGTATCTTTTATATTTTATTTATAATATTTTTACTTCGTTCAAATACCCCAATGCCTGGAAATTTTCTAAGATAATTTCTATTCCTAAAAACAGTGGTCAACCTGCAATTGATAACATGAGACCTGTTAGTATTTTGGCATCGTTATCTAATGTTGTTGAAAATTTAATTAAGGATCAAATTACAAAATTGATTGATGACAAAAAATTACTCAATGAATGTCAATATGGTTTTCGTCATGGCCGTTGTACAAATTTTCTTCTAACTGAATTAACCGAATCAATTAGAGAATTTTCTAATGCGGGTAAGGTCAGTGTTTTAGTATCAGTTGATCTGTATAAAGCATTAGATCAAGCTAGACACACTTTGTTGATTCATAAACTAGGAACTAGATATAATTTTATGGTCTGGTGGCAGACAATTTGCTGATACTGTTTCGGCTCAATCCGATATGGTTCAGTGTAAATGCACAAAAAGAATAAAACACAAATGATTATTAGTTTTATAAAAGGAGAAGATTTGTCTTCCTTTATTTATATATTACCTTAAGCATGTATGCACAACAAGAAGTGCTCTTTAAGGCTTCTAAATGACGAGTGAAAACAACTACTTATTTCTAAGTATATGGAGGCAAACAAAGTTTATATACAGTTAGCGGTTTACTTGTTGAATTAATAATAGTTTTCCATCAAAGATGTACTCTAAAAGTAGTAAATCATTAGGATTTACACTTAGAGGAAAAATACCGCAAATAATCGATTTGTACTTAAACATTGCCGGCCCCCTTTCAACACTTAAGGTGTTGTAACTAAAAAAAATAAATAAATGAGTCATTAAGGACTCTCGTGGACTGTTTTTTCCAAATTAAAATGAGCCATGATCAGACTCCAGTTTCTCTACATGGGTCATTATGGACCCCGGTTGAGCCATGATGAGACTCCGGTTGAGCCACGATTTAGACTCCGGTTTTTACTACTTGGGTCATTATGGACCCGTTTGAGCCTCTGGTCGACCCATTAAGAGACTCTGGTTGAGCCATGATGAGACTGGTTGAATCACTAAAGACTCTTGCTGAATTAAAAAGAATTTAGGGAAAGGTTAGTAAAGTAAATTGATATATAGTGATCATTTAGGAATTCGAAACAACAAGTCTGCCATACAAAGCGATCAATAGTAAAATTAGTCAAAAATTCTTCTTTCCATCTTTTACGAATCTATTAATACAGCGTTAGGGATAGACGTAAATCTCGAATTATCTATATTTAAATATTACCTCGTAAAGGTTACAATAAGTTTTTGCACATAGTGCCTTGTAGACAAAATGAAAATTAATGCTTTACAAACAATTTTAATAAGTTGCGGTACTATTACAGATTGATAAACTAACTAGTTCCTACATCATTTGGGTTCATTACGATTCCATGTTGGAATGTTTCTATTTTTAGTTGGCCTATATCCGAAACCGAAGGCAGATTTCCTGAAATGCTTGGCAAAACAGATGCCGAAGTGTTTAATAAAAATGATGAATCAGTACTAGAACCTATTATCAAATTACAAGTCTTCGTCGAAATGTCCGAAAATTCCTCATTTACGCCTGAAAACTTCGCTGTTTCGGAAATGGTTGGCAGCTTTAATCTTTTCATCAACTTTTCAGAAATAATAGTACATTCTGAAGCAGGGTCAATTAAAGCTCTAACTTGATATCTACAACCATTGAGTATCAAGTCGACTGTTGCTGTACCCAAAAGAGCAGAATGATTTCTACGAGTATGGAATATTTGTCGTTCAGTCACAGGCACCATGACTGAACGACACCATGACTGATCGAACGTAGTAGGTCTTCCATCTGTTGTACCTGACAAAATGGGTCGTTGGTCATTAGGAGTATTATTAGTGGGTCGTAAAACCACACTAGAATTGTCATCTAATGAATTAGCTAAATTACCCAAAGGAATAAAATGGTTTTGACTGGTTTGACTGGTTTGTCGTTCAACTATTGCGCCTGACGTAGTCGGTCTTTATACTAATGCAGTTGACAAGTTAGTAGGTCGTTGGTCATTAGAAACAGGATTGTATGGTCGTAAAACCAAAGAAGAGTTGTCATCTAATGACGCAGGAAGTGCATTTCTAGAGTTTTGCGAAACTGAAGAATCCCGATGTAGTGAAGTATGGTGCCGCTTATTACAAATAGAACAACGATGTTCGCTAGTGCAATCCCGAACATCATGTGATCTAGCAAGACAATTTATGCAGCAATGAAATTTTTTAACCGTTCTAAATCTCTCAGGAATAGACATTTTATCAAACTGACGGCAAAAACGAAGTAAATGACCCGGTTTTTTACATAAAACACAAGCATTCGTAGGACCTGTATTCGAAACATGTGTCTTTTCCTTGCGTTCAATACCTTTCTTATCAGTGTTGGAACTCATAAGATCGCGTATGCAATCTAACGTTTGGATTCTTTCGGTCAAAAACATGTCCAAATCTTTCCATAAAGATAAGGCAGTTTTGTCCTTAACACTTTGTTCCCATAGTGTCACTGTCTGAGACGGTAGTCTTTGTACGCAAATAAAAACGATAATTGGATCCCAATTTTGAGTGGGAATCTCATATATCGACATAGCAGTTAAAAATCCATTGATTCCGCCCTGTAACCTTTTCAATGAGGAACTATTCTCCTCTGTTATTGTCTCCAAACCAAACAAGCACTTTAGTTGATTATTAACTAGCATTCGAGGATTTTCGTACGTATTTTTCAAACTTTTCCACGCTATATCAAACCCAGCATTAGTCAACGGACATTTAGATACAATTTCTCTCGCTTCGTTTTCTATTCTTTTCACTAAATAACATAATCGCTCGATATTACTAAGCCGACTGTTATTAATATATAAGGCAGTAAAAAGATCCCTAAATGTAGGCCATGAGAGATAATCGCCGTTGAAGATGTCCGTATCACATGGCGGAAGAGGTAAATTATGACTAACATTATCAAAATTTGAATCATTGTTTGGATGAGGGGAAACTTTAGGCTTAGTCTTTGCTTCCAATTCATCAATCTTAATTTTTATCGACTTTGAACATCGCACATAAACATTTAGGGTACTCTGAAATTTTTTTTCAGCCACTGGAATATCTTCTGGCTCGGCGTCTTCAGAAGATTCAAGGTCATCTAAACACTTATCGAAAGTAATTTTCACCTTTTCCCAACACATCTTCAATTCACTTTTTAAAACTTGGAAGTAGTATACGTGATGTTCTTCCTCGCGAATATTATTAAAGTTTGCCTCAAATTTTATAACGGCGTCTGAAGCACGAGTGAAACGTTCGAGGGCGGTCAAAGGCATTTTTCACAATTTTAAGATTGGATTGTATTCAGTAAAACCGTATAAAAATGGAAGCAGCGTTCAAATTCACAAAAAAATTGAATTTGTATTATAAATTTCTAAACTAACTATTTTAAGTCAAATCGACCGACCGTAGGGTAACTAACAATAAATTAGTAAAAGGAGGAAGAAGAAGAATTTTATCTTTCACAACACAATTACTAATATTAAATTTGTGTGAACAAACCTTGCATTAAATGCAGTCACTAATTATTTTGATCACTATGTGTTTCACTATAAAATTTACACCAAAATAATTTTCATAAAATTTAATTATTGAAAATAATTTATTTATTTAAGTATTTGCCGAAAAAATGCAAATTTTAATTATCAATTATGGCTGTTGTCCAATGTAAACAAACGCAGCCTTGATTTTAAAAGTACCGATTACTATCTGTCAACAGGTACTGTATAAAATATAATCGCGCAAGGAATACCTATTAAGAAAACAAACTTTTTAAGAAACTTTTTTCACATTTGGCAAACTTTTTTTCAGAGTTGCAAAAAGATACTTTTTCTGCATGCACGTGTTAAAACTACATAAAAAATGTAAACAAAAGAAAACAAACCATAACAAAAGCCAATGCTGTATTTATAAAATTTTTTAAATGTTGGAATAAATTGAAAACAATAAATTGTGCAACAAAATGGACAATAGTGATCGATAGGGAATCGATCCCTGTATTGATTTTTTTGCGGGGTGCTTTCTATCGAATGCTGTGACATAACAAACTTTGACAAATTCACAAATCTAACGAAAATGAGGAAAATTTGTTTACACAAACAAATTTTAAAATATTCAGTGTGCACCAAAACAGCCAATAGTGGTCGATAGTGAAGCGATTAAGGAATCGATCCCAATATTGATTTTTTTCCGGGGTACTTTCTATTGGACT